GTTGGTCTTAAGTTGTTTCATTGTTCGTCAAAGGTCAGGATAAATTCGACAACCTCATGGGTATGATACGTGAACCTCCGAAGACTGACCCAGTATATGTTGTGTGGAAAGTGAAAAACTCCATGGTTATGTCATAGCTGATTAATTCCTTAGAGACCTCTATTGTTCATTCTTACCAGTTTCTTTCGTCAGCAATTGTCCGCTAGACTGCTATTCGCGATACCTACTTGGACGGAGGTAATTTTGAACAACTCCATGAATTTTCTAGTAAGAACCAAAAGTCTAAACAGAGATCGAAGACGGTGATCTAGTACTACAACAACTTAGTCGCTTTATGAATAGAATGTGACTTCTACTATAACTACACTTGGGACTCTCCTGCAGGTCCTTCCTTCTCCAAAAAAGTTTTGGAAAAGGATCACATGTTCCAATTTCTGGCGAGCTTGAATAAGGAACTTGATGAAGTCTGCGGCCATATACTGGGTCATGGGCCTTTTCCATCAACCCGATATCTTTTACTGAGATTCGTTGCGAAGAAAACCCGAGTCTTATCATGCTCGACAACTCAAGTACTTCAACCGAGTCTGGTCTCCAATAATACTCCACACTTTACCACACCCTCACGAGCCAATGTTCCACAAGTGACTTTTGCCACAAACCTTATCATATCCGCGTTAAGTGTTGGAAGCTTCAAGAGAAACAGGCGAATAATTCTTCAACAAAATATTCTGCTGCGAAAGGTCTCACAATGACCTCAGAATCCACTACAATTCAGCCGACCCATACTAGGACCATTTCCGACTCACCAGACACTATTAAGAATCAAATGGAACACTTGATTAAACTGTTGGATCTTGTTAGTTCTCCTCCGGTCTGTAGAGCTCTCATGTTAGCCAAGGTAACATCTCCATGGCACTCGCTAGCTTTCCCTCTTACAGCTCGTGAATTATTGATTGAAGTGCAATGAACCACATGGTGTTCCCACTTTTTTTTGGGAAACTCTCCATGCTCTGGGCTAGATTCCATTAAGATTGTAGACGGCTCCTGTAATTCCATTGCGAGTAAATGATCGGTTGTATTAACAGTCGGCTGACACTAGAATCTGCATTACACGTTCCTTCGCTTGAGTGTAAACTCTTATCGATCAGTAAGACCTTGATTCGAGTAAATGATCGGTTGTATTAACAGTCGACTGACACTAGAATCTGCATTACATGTTCCTTCGCTAGAGTGTAAACTCTTATCGATCAGTAAGACCTTGATTGCATTGATCATTTTCTCCTAATTTTGTGTTTTTTTAGAATCATTGTTCAGGAAGGGTGATTAGAACTGATAAGTTGGTAGCCAGACTCTACTTTTTCCAAGAATCTACTACAAGTCCAATTATGCTTTTACATTGTCGTTTGAGTCGTCACAGTTTTCACTATGTAAAGCAATTGTTCCATTTGATGTTTATTGATTAAAAATCTTCTTTAAATTTTGAAATTTGTATATTAGCTAAGCATCAATGTGTACCAAATTTACCTCACCCTTACACTCCCTCTCATTTTCGACTTATTCATAGTGACTTATGAAAACTCTCTCAAACTCTAAGCTATACAAAGAAACGTGAGTTCCTTACTCTAATTGATAATCACACTCGGATGACTTGAGTCAATATATTAAAAGACAAATCTAAAGTCGCGGTCACTTTCAAAAATTTCCACTCCTTCAATTTAAAATCCCTATTCAAGTCCTTTGGACCAACCATGACCATGAGTATTGTAACTCTATATTGAGATAATTATTGGTTAGTAAGAGCACCCTCCATCATAGCTCCTGTATGGATACCCCACAAAAAAAATGAGATAACCAAGCAAAAAAATGGAAATTTTCTCTATGTTGCTCATCCCATTATGTTTCAAACTAATGCTGCTAAGCATTCTGACGCCGTCCTCACCGCCACCTACCTCATCAACAAAGTTCTCACAAACAACCACAACCTTCACACCCCTCTATCCGTCTTGATGTTTTGTTTTCGTACCAATCAGTTCTCCACATTAAATCCCAAAATATTTGGATGCACGACCTTCGCTCGAAACACTTCTCCACTTATAGTAAACTTGATCCCCGCTCAATTGTGTCTTCTCAACTATCCTGCCACTCAAAAAAGCTATATGTGTCTTCGTCCTACGACTAATAAAATCTATTTCAGTGATGATGTGTCTTTTTTTAAAGATGTTCCCTTCTTCCCTAGCACAGCCTCAAGTGAGAGGGAGAATGAATTTTTGGAAACTGTTCCCTTTACGACTCTATTGGACATTCTACCTACTACGACCACTGTGTCCAGGTAACCCTAGGACCCACTAGATTCGCCATCAACCAGACCAACATCACCTCCATCCTCTCTCTGTGTTTGTACTCATCGTACAAAATCCTCTATTGAGACTCATCCAAATGCCCCTACTGTCGAGCCCACTGCCCCATTAAAGATCTTGGAGTCTACTCCGGCCATGCCTGAAATGATGCTCTCTCAATTTATGAGGATCACTCTTGAACTTGAGACATAGTTGATCTTCCCCCGGGAAAGAAAGCGGTGGGTTTTAGGTGGAGTTTCAACATCAAATTTAACTCTGATTGATCTTTTGAACGCAACAAGGCAATGTTGGTCACCAAAGGATATTCACAAACCTATGGGGTTGTTATGAAGAGACATTTGCTCCGTTAGCTAAGCCAAATACCATTCGGGTTCTGTTATTCCTAATCGTGAATCTAGATTGGTCCTTATTTCAGCTGAATGTCAAGAATATTTTCCTTAATGACAATCTCGCTGAGGTGTTGTCTCTCTCACCAGGCTTTAATTATACTTCTTCTCGTGGACAAGTGTCTTGATTTCGAAAGTCTATATATGGCCTAAAACAATCCACACGGGTCTAGTTCGGCAAATTTATGCAAGTTGTAGTGGGTCATGGTTTCTTTCAGGCACAATCTAATCATATATTATTTTTTCGCCATTCATTTGGTGATTGTATTATCATCATCATCATCTATATCGACGATATCGCGCTCACAGATAATGATCAACCGACATTAGAATCTCTTAAAGGCACACTGGTCGCATCTTTTCAGATGAAAGTCTTGGGTTCTCTCCGGTATTTACTAGTGATGGAAGTAGCTTGGTCCTCTTGGGGCATTAACCTTTCCCAGCACATCTATATAATAGATTTACTGACTGAGACTAATCTATTTCTTTGCAAATCGACAGCTGTCTCAATGGACCCCAATGAGAAATTGGTAGAAGCTCACAATATTGTTTTCGTGAACAAAACACATGACCAATGCCCAGTAGGTAAACTCATTTACCTCGCCCATATGCGCCCGTATATTTGTCACGTCATTGCTATTGTAAGTCAGTTCATGCATGACCCCTACCAACACCATCTCATCGTTGTCCATCGAATCCTCCACTGCTTGAAAGGCACATCGAGCTCATGTTTTTTGTTCTCTCGTCACATCTCTTGCTCTGTTGAAGTTTATACGGATGTTGATTAGGTCGGGTTCATCCATGATCGACAATATAGCTAGAGTTATTGCTCCATCGTGTGGGGAAACCTTGTCACATGGAAAAGTAAAAAATAATTTGTAGTTCCCCGGAAAAGTGTTGAAGTCGAGTTTCATTCTGTCCTTATAGGAGTGTGAATTCCTCTGATTACACATCATGTTTTGCGAGTTACATATGTCGGTCACCGTTCCTTTGTAGCTGTTTAGTGACAATAAAGTCGTCATCGGTGTTACTCATAATCCAATCCAGCATAATCATACCAAGCATGTGGAGATTGACCGTCACTTTATCAAGGAAAAACTCAACTCCAAGGAGATTTGAGTTCCATTTGTCCACTGCATTGGCCAACTAGTAGATATTCTCACAGAGAATCATCCTCAACCAATATTTAATAATTCAAATCCAAGTTGAACACGATTAATAACTATGCTTCAACTTGAGGGGGGTGTTAGAAGTTATTAGTATTGATTTATTTCATTTCTAGTTATTTCTTATTTTATGTATATCCTACTTTAAGTCTTTCCTTTTTATCTCCGGGTGGTTTTTAAGAAAGGAATTGATTCCTAGTGATATGAGTGTTATGTCATTCCTATTTTATAATTTATGTAACATGTATTTATACCCCGCTTTTCATATCAATGAAATCATCCCGCTCAATTCCCAAAACCTACAATTTTACTAACCCATCATTAATCTATGTTAGTAGTTGCACTCGAGTTATCCTCAGAAGCACCCAAGTCGGGATAGTGAATAAGTTGCTACATCCCCTAGTGCATATTTCATATTGATTTAGGGTTGTCCTGGAACACCAAATTTGGGTTATTTGGCAAGACTAGAATTTACAAGGTTAGACACCTCCGTGCACTCACAATCCACGACAACCCAGTAATCTGTCACAAGTTAAAAGTTCTAAAAAATTGTGTGACTTCAGCAAAGAAGATAGGTTTTCGTGGAAGAATCAACATAATAGGGAACCCTATAGCAACAATTACACCCGTTGCTTATGAAAAAAATGCATATTCTAGGTGATGAAATGATGCCACATTAATAAAAGAAAGAACGACATTTACGTTAAAATTAAACTTAGAGTTGCTTCTAGTTCACCAACCACAAAATAAGACAATATTAGCATAGTAATAGATTCCATTAAACAAATATCAACAACAAAAAGTGAAATGACGATCATATTTTATTTTGCCAATATTATTGCTCTGTGTTTTTAATTCTGTTTTTTTCTTTTTTTTTTCCTTTTTAATGTGAAGCTTAAAAAAAGGCAGATGTTTAAAAAAATCAAAATTTATATTTTTATGGTAGACTGTTCAGAAATAACAGCATGAAAGTTTTGTTAGAAAGAGAAAATTAACGCAAAATATTCTGCATAAGTAACTGATAGTGTGAGCATCATTTATCTTTGTTAGAAAGTAAGTTAATAAAAATTAATACAGGGACAAAAACTTACCCAGGCTGATAGCAAGCAAAAGGCCACAGAGGCCAGTTGATAGATCTCATTGGTCTGCAAGTTTTGGCAAAAAATTAATGATAACAGATACATACACAAAAGACATAATTACAAAGAAAGACATTTAATTGTCTATTAAGATTACAAATATGACGGTTACAGTATTAAACAAGAACATTCTGGAAAGAATAGGTCATCAATAAGCGTTCTTGGCATGGATAGCTAAATTTGGCAGAAAGCCCCAGACACTACATTATGAGCACATAAAACTGTTTGATAACGGTAAATATCATTTAACACAAGTTACAATATACAATAGCTCCACCTAAACAGTGCGAATGACTGGCAATAATAATCAGCTTGATACTGCTGCAATAAAAATTTCAGCAGCTTCTTTCCCTCGGAACCTCGCTAATGGGCAATACCGTCTAAATATAACTCTTTAAAACCTTTCAAGTTAGCTTTACTGGAATTAGCCATAAGATGAAATTTTAACGATAAGGGTTATTTGGTAAAACTTGTAGAGTTTAATAGGATGGAATATACGACTCAGTGGTCGTGTTTACCCGCTCCCGCCATAGGAGCTGGTATTTGTTCACAGATTCGATTCAAATGTAGTTGCCTTCAATTTTGGACTTACCCCAAACACGTTTCAGGATGCTTCCTTAATGGTGATGCAAAATACATTAGAATTTTGGATGCATTTTATGCAGGCGCACAAAAAAAATTAAAAAGTCATGGATTACAGATCATTAAAGACCTTTTTTTACATGCAAATAAAAAAAATTCAGGAATATAATCAAAACGATGCAAATATCAATTAAAGTCAAAGAAACAAACAATAAATTGAAACCATGAAAACATCAGTGAGCAAATGCAATATTTTCACTCCAATTAAAATTTCAATTGTATCAAATGTGAAAAAAAAAATTATTTTGGCATCACCCAAAGAATTGATACAAATGATAGCTTTTGGGAAAAAAAAAATTTATTGGAGGAGATCTAAATGAACATGTTGGCGGAGTGGTAAAAGATTTTGGAAATATTCATGTTGGCTACGGTTCTGGAGTAATTAATAAAAAAATTAGAACCATATTAGAAATTTTAGTTTATAATTTTATTATTGCTAATACATTATTTAAGAAAAGAGATAAACATATTATTAATTAAAAAAATAGTTCTAATAAAATACAAATTTATTATTTTTTTATGAGAAATATATCGTCGAGAATGTAAAGATTGTAAGGTCAATCCAAGTAAAAATTTAAATACTCAACATTTGAGAATGTAAAGATTGTAAGGTCATGTCGGCGCTTAAAAAGGGGGAAAAGTTTAATGTTTGGGGGTCGCCCGTAAGATTGGATTTTACGATAAATAGTTGTAAGATAAATAATACAATGAAGCACTAGAATTTGATGGGGGCTTCTAAAAGATACAAATAAAATTATTTTTATAAGTAAATTTCAATTTCAACATTTGGGATATTCATGAAGAAGTTATTTCTATGTGGGATAAAGTAACAACACTATTAAACAAGTGGTAAAAGATGTACTTGAAAAATAAAAAAAATATTTATATATAAAAAAAGTTACTGGTATAGAAATAATGTGCAAAACAAGATAAAATAAAGTGTTATAAAAATTGGTTTAAAAGTAAAAACTTAAAAAAATGGGAAAAATATAAGGTGATCTGTAATGAGTCTAAGAGAACAATTTGTGATGCAAAAAATTCTATTTAAAGTGATATTTATAATATATTAGATACAAAAGATAGTGAGAAATATATGCATAAACTAGCCATACAAAGAAAAAAGAAAAGTAAGGATTTATTTTAAGTGTATTAAAGATGAAAATTAAAAATTACTTTTCTTAGAAGAATATATTCAATATAGATAGGTGACTATTTTGACAAACTTTTCAATAAAGTTTCTAAAAAGATGATCGACCTTAGCGATTTTAATATCGTTAATAATAATAAAACTTTTTATTTTTACAAACGCATTAGTGAAAAAAATGTTGAGGCTTTAAAGCAAACCAATGGTAGACAATCAGTAGGATATGATGTTATCCCTATTGAAGTGTGGAAATATCAAGGAGAATTGGGAATTCCTTGGCTTACTAAACTCTTTAATATCATTTTAAAACTAAAAAGATGCACGAGTGGACAAAGTATTTTGTTTCTCATTTTTAAGAATAAAAGGGATGCATAAGAGTGTGCAAATTATAAAAGAATTAAGTTAATGTGTTAAAATTTAAAATTATGAGTGAGGGTAATTGAACATAGGTTAAGACGTAATCCAAAGATTTCTCATAATCAATTTGAATTTATGTCGGTCAAGTCCACTAAGGAAGCTATACATTTATTGAAAGATTTGATGGAGAAGTACAGAGAGAGAGTAAGTAGGACCTACATATGATTTTTATTGATTTAGAAAAGGCTTACGATAAGGTTTCAGTAGAAGTTCTTTGGATAATTCTAGAAAAGAAAGGAGTCAATATAACTTATATTCAAATCATTAAAGATATGCATGGTGAAAGAGTGTAATTGAACATATGTTAAGACATATTATAAAGATTTCTCATAATCAATTTGGAATTATGTCGAACATGTCTACTGAGGAAGCTATACATTTATTGAGATGTTTGATAGAGAAGTTCAGAAAGAATAAAGAGGATCTACATATGATTTTTGTTGATTTAGAAAAATCTTACGATGAGATTTCTAGAAAAGAAATGTGGTTATATGACTTATATTCAAGTCAATAAGGATATGTATAATATAGCTGTTACTTGTGTTCGAACAATAGGAGGATTGACCGAATATTTTTCTATTTTAGTTGTATTACATCGGGGATTGGCTTTAAGCACATATATTTTTGCTTTAGTTATGGATGCTCTTACTGGATATTTATAGGAGGATGTACTTTGATGTATGTTTTTCGCTGATGATATCCTTCTTGTGGATAAGACCAGAGAAAAATTTCAGGAAAAGCTTGAATTATGAAGGTCTACATTGGAGTCTAAAGGCCTTCGTTTGAGTAGGTTTAAAATTTAATACATAAAATTTAATTTTAGTAATAATAGTACTAGTAGCAGAGTTATAATAATGAGTGATCAAATCATTAAAAGATTTTAACGTTTTAGATATCTCAGACTATTGTTCAATGTGATGAGTTTCTAAAAAGATGATCGACCTTAGCAATTTTAATATCGTTAATAATAATAAAACTTTTTGTTTTTACAAACGCATTAGTGAAAAAAATGTTGAGGAGGCTTTAAAGCAAACCAATGGTAGACAATCAGTAGGATATGATGTTATCCCTATTGAAGTGTGGAAATATCAAGGAGAATTGGGAATTCCTTGGCTTACTAAACTCTTTAATATCATTTTAAAACTAAAAAGATGCACGAGTGGACAAAGTATTTTGTTTCTCATTTTTAAGAATAAAAGGGATGCATAAGAGTTTGCAAATTATAAAAGAATTAAGTTAATGTGTTAAAATTTAAAATTATGAGTGAGGGTAATTGAACATAGGTTAAGACGTGATCCAAAGATTTTTCATAATCAATTTGAATTTATGTCGGTCAAGTCTACTAAGGAAGCTATACATTTATTGAAAGATTTGATGGAGAAGTACAGAGAGAGAGTAAGTAGGACCTACATATGATTTTTATTGATTTAGAAAAGGCTTACGATAAGGTTTCAGTAGAAGTTCTTTGGATAATTCTAGAAAAGAAAGGAGTCAATATAACTTATATTCAAATCATTAAAGATATGCATGGTAGAGTTCTTACTCGCGTTCGAACAGAAGGAGGATTGATCTAGTATTTTCCTATTTCAGTTGGATTACATTAGGGTTCGACTTTAAGCCAATATCTTTTTGTTTTAGTGATGGATGCTCTTATTGGACATTAAAGGAGGATGTACTTTGATGTATGTTTTTCGCTGATGATATCCTTCTTGTGGATAAGACCAGAGAAAAAATTCAGGAAAAGCTTGAATTATGAAGGTCTACATTGGAGTCTAAAGGCCTTCGTTTGAGTAGGTTTAAAATTTAATACACAAAATTTAATTTTAGTAATAATAGCACTAGTAGCAGAGTTGTAACAATGAGTGATCAAATCATTAAAAGATTTTAATGTTTTAGATATCTCAGACTATTGTTCAATGTGATGATGATATAGATAGGGATGTTATTAATATAATTCAAGTTAGTTGGTTGAAGTAGAGGAATGCATCAGACCTATTGTGTCATAGAAAAGTACCTCTTAGAGTTGAAAGAAAAATTTTATAAGATGGTGGTGAAACCTGCAATGCTTTATGGCGTAGAATGTTGAACTTTAAAAGAGAAGCATAAAACAAAGCTAAGTGTTGTTAAGATGAGAATGCTTAAGTGGATGAGTGGCTTGACACTTAGAGACAAAATGTGAAACGAATCCATCCGTGAAAGGGTTGGTGTAGCTCCAGTTGCACACAAAATTAGAGAGAATTGTCTTATAGATGGTTTGATCACATTAAACGTCGACCATTTGATGATTCAGTTAGGAGAGTAGATGTTTTAGATACAACATATGTTAAAAAAGGCAGATGTAGACCTAAAAAGATAACTTATTGTATAAAAAATAATATCAATCTATTAGAATTAAATGAAAATATGCCACTCAATAGGACACAATGGAGAAAAAAATTCATGTTAGTCGATCTCACTTAGTGGGACAATGAATTGTTGTTACTGTTGTTGTTGTTGTGTCAAATTTGGACAAAACCAAACCTCTAGAAAATCAATAAATAAAATATTTAAAAGAAAATAGACAAAATAAAATAATCACCCAAGCCAAGGGCAGTCAAGCCTCACCCTTATATATGGAGATGACTTAGGTCCAATTTAGGTAGAACCTAGGGTATGAAATGGTTTAGGTTCAATGTAGATAGAACCCAAAGTTTAAGATGAAGATGATTTAAGTCCAATGTAGGGTAGGTAGGACTTAAGATTTAATATCACTTAGGTTCAATTTAGGTAGCACCTAAGGATTAGAGATAGTTTTAACTTAGAG